ACAAAAACTCAATTAAATATAAATTTGGAATATACGGAAATAAAACTAGAATGCGTGCCACATCATTCGTTGCTAGGTATAAACATTGACACCAACATTGGTTTGAAATCACATATACGTAAACGTAAACGAATAAAGCTTAAAAACGGCATATTACGCCTGCGCTCACGCGTGACTAAACTACGGCGCAATAGTTTTGGGAAACAGCGTAAATACCCATGAGCTCTTAACCGCACAGTGTAAAAAAACGTATATAAATAAATAATAAAATAAAAGTAAATATAAAGCAAGTAGAAACCTGGGGGCCTACTATGAGCTTATAAGCAACCAGCCAAGTTCCATACAATTCACTTGACGTGGTAAAACTGAATTGCTTAAATTCATATCATGACGTAGGTACCTAAAATTGTTTTTAACATACGCTTCGCACTAGGGAAACCCTGCCTCGCGGCCGCCATGGACACACATAGGTAGACAACTACAAATTACACCCAAACTCGTGACAGAAATAGATGTAGGCCATATAAATATTTCTCCCGACCCGGGAATCGGACCTGGGACTTCTGCGTGGCAGACTAGCAAGATAACCGTTCGGCCACGGAGGTAGTTAAACGGGAATGTCAAGGCAAGATGATGAGTTTTACTTTTTAAACATTAATTATTGTCTCTGGCTGGCTAGCTGACATCTGACAAGAGCAAGATGGAACTACATACTAATTCATATGAAAGAAATAGACAGATGTACTGCCCTGGGAGCGTTCAAGCACTATTAACCGGTTGTGTTCAAAATGAGAATAATTACATTTTTTAATAATTTTATTATTCGTTATACTTATTACGTTATATTGTCATATCGGCAACTTTTCAATCATACTTTTAAATTTGTCGTAAGACAAAATTACATGTCATGTCTAGTCATTATCATTGTAATGAATAAGGTGAGTTTGTAATTTGATAACATAATTGGAACATATCTTGTATTCGTACATTTTCATTGATTAATGTGTTAGAGTCGAATTTGGCACTATTCATAAGTTGATTTCCTTTATTTTTGTAAGTCAATAAAATGATTAAAATACAATTTAAAAATTGTAATTACATTCGTGCTAACAATTTATCAACAACAATACTCTGTAGATGGGTAACTCGAACTAAACGAATCAAAAAAGGTTCAATTGTTTATAGTATTTATTTGTTGACAACTGGCTATAGGCAGCCTAAAAACATAACAAAGAATTGTGCAACTGAAAATGTAATAAAACTTGAACGAAATTTCTTAAAAATGTAACAAAATCTCCACATTTGATAAACAAAAATTATTCACGGAGCAACTTTCTTTAAATTGCTTATTTTAACAAATGAGACCGATGCACATGGATGCATGGCAAATGACACATCATAATACGATTTTACTATGAAAGAAAAGGTGAACGGATTTCAGATATCATAATACGAATTGGATAGCCTATTCAACGTACGAGGTTAAACAGGATTGCTATAAGAGCTACGGCGTAACAGTTTGGGGAAACGCACAGAAAAAAACGTGTCCGGATTCTTGTAAATATAACGCAAGTAGAAACCTGGGGCCTACCTGCAAAAGTTACTTTATGATTAAATTTTTATTGAATTGATATTCAATTATTTTTTGTGAAATTACTCCACTAGTTTGTTATAATTATTAATACAAAGATCGAACACTCAGAAAAAATTCCTTCGATCCGGTCGGATTCGAACCGACGTCTTCTTGCATACCGTGACAGACGCTATACCAACTAAGCCACGGAACGAACCAACGGACCTCACGAATGACATCTCTCGCCAGGACTGGTAGCTGTAAAGGTACTAACTGGGTGATAAATCTGTCAAAGATTTCTCATAGATGGCGCTACGACTAAAAAGTCGTTGAAAAACCAAGTACAAAGACACGACGCAAGCACATAGAAAAATTCGTGAGGTCCGTTGGTTCGTTCTGTGGCTTAGTTGGTATAGCGTCTGGCACGGTATGCAAGAAGACGTCGGTTCGAATCCGACCGGATCGAAGGAATTTTTCTGAGTGTTTTTTCTGAGTGTTCGATCTTTGTATTAATAATTAGTTTATGATTTTCGGTCAATAAAATTATTAGAATGATTAAAATTCCATTTAAAAATTGCAGTAACTTATCAAGAATACTTTAAAGATTGGGAAGTCGAACTAAAATTTTCAAAAAACGCGCAATAGTTAATAGTGTTTATTTATTGACAATTGGCTATACAGCTTAAAGGCGCGGGTACAGTATCATTTCCCTCTTTGGATGCCATTCTCATCTAATCACGTTCACGAACGTGGGTTATCGGGCAAGGACGTTAAAACACAACTGGTCACACTATCGATTTATAATCACTTTCATAATCGATTACAATGAGATTTTACAAAAATAAGCTTCGTATTGTAAGTCAATGTTCGTATTCCACTAATTGACACTTAATTTAACGATTTAGTAAGACGTTCCGCACAACACGTGATGCTAGGACAGGACGTCGACGGATGATTGTTCTCCTGTTTTTCCTGACGCGAGAACTCGCGCCCTAACCGTTATCGTGACAGGTGACAGTTGATGCTATCTGTTTGAATTGCATCAGTGCTGTGCGTTACGTCAGAGTGAGACAGGCAGCACATCTCACTCTAATAGACACAAACTAATCGACGCGCCGTCAAACTTATAAAGATAACAAATAAGTAAGTAAAACACGGTTACGCTGACATTTGGAACCTCTAATTATATATTTAGATTTACTAGGATTTGAAACCAGTGCATTTCGACTAGCCCATTCGCTTACACTAGTTAAATCTTGGTTCAGTTCATTAATAGCTCTTATCGCATCAGTAGGCGGAAAAGAGTGGTAAACCTTGGCGTACCTCTACCCACCGTTTCAATCTCGGACTTTACAATGTCTTTCATTTTGCGACTCCACATGTTGCATTCTATTTGTAAGGAACGACCGAAACCAGTCACAGACATCTCCACTCACCATCTAGGCGAATACAAGTTCGGTACTGATACACTCAAATGCGCGAGAAAAGTCTAAAGGACAAGAACACTAACCGTACCCGTATCTGTGGCCGTTATAATGTCGTCAATGACGTGTGCTAGAGCCGTATTTGTGCCATGCCCCTTACGAAAACCCGACTGTACAACAGGCAGTATGTTCCCTTTTTCTAAATACCTAGTAATGTTACCTATCTTGCTGGCTCAAATAACTTGTTCAAAGGTAAACATTCTATTACAACTTGTCTACAGTTAAAGAACTTCCAATTCAAATATAGGAAATGCGTCACTAGACGCTAAGAGTTTTTACGAGAGACTAACTCCATGGCGAGAAATCCCTTCTTCAGACCGGTTATTACGGGAAAAGATAATGTTGTGCTCACAAGGAAAGTTTGTTGGATTTAAACTTTTCGATTCTCGCGCACTCCCAATCCCGAGGATTTGACGTAATCCGGGCGCAGGTTGACTCGGCCGCAGCCGCGCGCGCGCTCGCGCCACGTGCTGGCTGTTTACTTAGGCTCGTCCGCAAATACAGATCATGCCATATATTGGAAATTTGCTATCACAAACAAACTGAAACAGTGCAGGTGTAATGTTTTATCAGTATTATCCCGAAATAATTTAACTAAATATATAATGATAATAAAACTCAGTCATTACGGAAATGGAAGGCGAAGCGCCGGCTCCGGCTGGCGGTGCTTATGCTCATTATGTGTGTCTTTATTGAATATATACGTTAATCCCAATATGCTTTTGCCATTTTAAATACGTAGCAGTCGTTTGTCGACAGGTGTCAGAGGTTCAACGAGCTTCATTTGCAAGTGAAATGTATGCACTGTGTCAATTCCTACCACCGCTGCAATCCGTAAATTATGCAGCAAGTGCACTAGCACGTATCTACTTGCGATATTTATTGTGAATCAATACTAAATATGAGAAACTTGTATGATATTCCGATAGCGGCGGTCACAATGGCAGCAAAGCAACTCTGATAGCCGATTTGTAAGCCTACGGCTCAATTTCTCGTTTCCAGCGCAGCGCCCTCGTTGCGCCCACAGCCTGATTGATGATCCCTACAACCCCCCGCGCACCCACTCCCGTCCACTATTCATACCCGCTCGTAAATTAACTGCAGTTTGTAACAAAACGCCTGGAAGGAGCGCTCAAGGGCGATTGTTCTACTTCTCTTGGTCCACCACAGCCCGCTGTATTTGCAGCTGCAGCCGCCGCTGTGACGCTGCCCGGGTTCTTTTATTGTAGTCCTCTACCCGAAAACGCAACGCGCTCTTCTTTCGTAATCGACAACAACAACAAGGATGAGACAAACAAGTGCGGTTTCTTCGGAAATTACAGATTTGCTCAACGTGCTTACAGATTTCCCCGGTGAATAAATGCAATGCAAGGAATCGAGCTATGGAAACTTTTGTGCGATTATATTATTAATTTGGAGGGCGGGAGGGGTCGGGTTGTATCGTCCATTAAAAGTTCCCGCCTTAATTCTGTTTTAAAATCTTCCGGCGGCGATTTATCAAAACCTTAAAAGATACATTTATCTAAAATATAAACTCCGGCAAAAAAGTAGAAGAATTAAAGATAACAAAGGCCGCGCTCCGGGCAAGCGGACGAGGCTTTCAAAATATTTCTTTAAAAAAATAAGGAACAATAAAGATTAGTGAAATTTTGTTGGCAACTAGCGGATGAACTCAGCTGAATAGTTAATTTGGGAAGATGCGACGGCGAGGGCGTCTGCACAAGCATTAAAACTTTTTCCCAGGGAAATATGTAGCGCCGATAGAGGGGAGGTGCAGGGCGGAGCGGGACGGCGGCGGAGATCGACACTGCTTCAGAATGTTACTTCGGCTTTTTTTATCCACTTGAATAAAATACATACATACTATCTACGGTTGAGTTCTTCAACCAAAGAAATGTCACAAGAACGGACGGTAATCAAATAAAACAATTTTTTCAGGAAAAGTGGTTTAATACTAAAATCTCATTTCAGCGATGAAAAAACCATCGGAGTCCACAGATATCGACGACGACGATCACTACTATTTACAAGTTTACGCTAAAACATTATATACAGAGTGTCCGCACAGCGAGTGTATCGATTCGAACAGGAGACTGTATATCTTAGAGTAATCATTTCAATCTATCTGTATTACATTACATCAAGTAAATAAATAAGACTTTAAGAAATTCTAAACAAGTTGTAAAGGTCTAGGAATACTTTTGAAGTATTCTCCAAACATGAGGATTTCGATTATCTCTTTAAACATTTAAGGTACATAACATACAACATGAAATAGAACGAAACAACATCAACTATGAGTAAATTCGAGCATCGTCTACGTCCAAAGACATAATTTAAACTAGTAACAAATACAGAAACAACTGAAGTGAGCGAACGGTTCAGGGCTAAAGCCGTAGGTACTTTGGTCGAGAGGGAGACGCGTACGTCTGTCGGCAGGTCTACACACGTGCACGCAGCAGAGTCAATCGGTTGCACCGCACACCGAGTCTAACAATTTATATCCATTCACAATTCCTTTAATTTATCATCTAATACAAAAGAACAGAAACCCAGATTGGTTGGGTCGACTTAAATATTGTACGAGCTGACGAGCTCGAAGGGTGCAGTCGCAATCAGAACTCGTCTACACCGAGATCTCTTTGATCTGCACTCGCTTTTTGGGCGGTGCGACGTTGCCGCTGCTCGGCCTCGCAGTTAGCTCCGACAAGTCGCTGCTGCGCTGTGGAAAGCGAGCACCATGTTACTACAACACTTCGCACGCTCTTTATTATTAATAATAAATGTCTACGAGCACTACACCAGTATTCGAAGCCGTAAGATATCACCCGTTACCTTAAGACTGCTCTTGCGCGGCGACAGTGCCGCCCCCGAAGCGCCCATGTCTGCACCGACCGCGGACAACTCGCGGTCCAGGTGTGTGCCGGAGCTCGCGCGGGCGCTCCCTGCCAATTATAAACTTTGCTACAAACACAAACTAGGTACCTACAAATTATACTTTCCACTGTTTTACTTCCTCCTAATTATAAAACAAAAAAGTAGCTATTTTTCAGTCCATTTTGAAGTACAAGTGAGCCGAACCGAGCCCATGCCATAATTCCATTTCTTCCGGTGATTGTTCTCTGTGGATTCGTCCGCCGCTTGCTGGTTAATCAGATCGATCTAAATTGAGATTAGGGAATTGAGAGTGCCCGATTGGTACGCCATGGGTTGACGCCGTATTGAGAAACGGTTTGGTCAATTCAATGACAGTTCATCATACTACTGTACTCCAATTCCAGTAAATAAATTGCGTAGAGCTTTAAGATGGTACGTTTTGATTTGTTCAGTTTAAATTCAACTATAGAGACAGGCAGAAACGCAATGAAACATAAAGGCGCACACTCACCTTGCCGATGATGCCGGCGGCGGTTGCGGCGCGCGCGGCCCCGCTGAAGGTAGATGCCCGCGAATACTAACACGTTCAGCGCCAACAAAAAACAGCCGGCGCCCACCGTTACGCCCAGCGCCACTGTGTAGCTGCCACACAAGCAAATAGACTAAAAATCTTTTCGTTAATAATCAAGGGTAAAAATAGCCCACTTCAAATCATCGGGTATGAGTAGAAGGTAAACGCCGCTCCGTAGCAAAATGTTGACAATTCTAAATTCATTAAGCTTCTTGCACTTTCCTATGATTATCGCGATAATCATGTTCACGTCTCGGCTACAACAAAAATATTAACAACGATAGTCTAGATGCTAGACTATCGTTGTGATGCTAGATGATTGCTATTAATATTTTTCGAGCAGATGTCTGAGAAATGGCCCTCATTTATCTGCTGCGACGCGACGGAAGGACCGCACGCGGGTGCCCCCTAGCTTGTATAAACAAATTCAAATTGTTATAGAAGAATAGCTGAGTCTTCTATACTCCCATAGCTCTTTTCTTGACTGCTCTTTGTCCCTGAGAGTTGCATTAGGGACATAGGAGTTAGAATAATATTTGTACTTTGTTTCGTCCCGTATAACCAAGAAGGTTGATAGGGCCATGGGAAGGTTGGTGGTGGTTGGTTATGCACGCTGTCCCTTGTCCCTATCTACTGACCCGAGAGATAGGGTTTTCCGGAGAGACTACGGGCTCGACGGCAAGAAAAGAATACGGCGGGCGTCCGGGCCAAGCCCTCCGCCAATGATACGTCTTCACGTGCGTCTCTGGCGGACCCGGACTTGGGTAAAGACTCGTGTGGTTAGCTGCAGGGACGAACGCATTCGTCTGCCCTAGTAGATGGTGACCGGGGCGTTCGTCCCGCGCCCAGCTAGCGCGTCTTAGTAGCGGTCTAGTTGAGAGCCTGAGGCGAGGAGACGCGCGGGGTAAGTGAGTTGCCCTTTAGGTCGGTGGCTATGTCCGGACATTGTCGCAGGACACTTCCACTTGGCATCTCCGGCACTAGCCCGGAGAGCTAGTAGAGGATGAGCTAGACAACTTCCGGTCCCTCCGGCCGCATAGGAATTTGGGAACTGGAGAGACGCCGTTCATTCGGCGTCGGGAAATGAGCGTGCCTTACAGCTCCGGTACCTATCTGGAAAATAAGGAGGGTGCTGTACGTGCACCCGGGGCGGCTCACCGAAAGCACTCGCCCTACAGAGAACCGGATGAATGATGGGTGCTGATCTGGCGTTAGGACCTGACTTAGATGGTCCCAAGCGAGCTTGCACAGGTCATAGTGACCTTCCCGCATAAGTAAGAGGTTGATAGGGAGGGGCACTATAAACAAAACTTATGTAGAAAGATACGGGACTGCTCTTTGTCGTTTCTTCGTTTTACGAATGTTGAGATCAAGGAGAATTATAACGTTGTGGGTGTGTATCTGTCTAGTTGACGTCGGTTTTATCTATCTCGAATTTAAACTGGATAACGTTGATTAACAATACAAAAATTTACATTGCCTAATTTCAACTTTATCTTGCTTAATAACAAAACAACGTATATGTTATAAATGACAAAATTTTGCAAAATATCGCATTTAAATTAATTTTTCTACTCCTGTACTTTCATCTGTCAATTATAATGTCATCATATCATATACGTACTCTTTTTAGTTCTTTAATCAAAATTATATTGTCTATAGTACTTGCCAGTGCCACTGAGCTGAAAAAAGAACATCGTAATTTTGCTAATTAAAATATCAAATAAGACGCTACTCGAACACTATGATGCCTCCTGGGGGCCTACCACAACCTCTTAAAACAATATTACTTTAACCTTACATTGACTTTCCGTACCATAACGCGCTTAAAATATTTATAGCTTATTTGCAATGTTCAAACTCAGCTTTGTGACTATTCATTCACTCAGTTCGTACCATAACGCGACTTTGACATTGAAGTAATATTGGTCTTAAGTCAAATTTAGCAATCTTAAAATAGTTACACGGATGCAATGGAAACAATATTATTTTCAGTTTTATTGTCTTAATATTGATTTGTAATGATTAAAAGTTAAGTTGAACTTACTTATTTACATATTATATCTCTTCAATATTTTGTTTATTTTTTTATTTAATAGCACATAGGAAATCATTTCTCGTAAAATAAAAATACACGATGTTTATTTCATAAACTTATGACAGCGCCATCTATATGCTCCTTGGCGAAACTAACAGTTGACACTAGACTATTGTTCCGAATTCACAACGTGACTATCCAGACTCAGCTTGTTTTATTTATTTATCTCCATGAAAATGCGGACTAATAATTGAAAACAACGTAATTTTAAAGAATGAATGAAATAATGTTTATTGCACATAAAATTACAGTTGAAACACAATTATCTTAGGTATAAAGATAGTAAGATAATGTGCAACAGGCGGCCTTATTAGAATAGAATAGAATTATTTATTTCGGACCACGATCCATAATAATGTTAGTAATACAGTAAATTTTTCTTACGTGCTATGGTTAGTACAATACAAAATTACTTAATTTTAGTGAAAAGACGTAAAAGTCTAGACCACTACCCTACGCACGTGTAGTTGCACCCAAAAGTGAGACAGCCTTCTTGCCCATAATGGTATGAAAGCCATCTGTGTGCGCCTCCGTGAATGCCGGATGCACTACAGTGTCGCGACAGCCCCATCAGCATCCTAAAAGCGTTGTTATATTGCACCCTTAATGAAATCAGGGTTCTCTGCGTATACTTCACCCACAGGCTGCTACATTTAACAGACAGGGCCCTTCTCAACCTCTCCATGTCGGCACTATCATGCAAGTTATCGGTTACCCAGTGACCCAGGTACTTAAAAACTAGGAGCTCGGTCTTTTTCGTGTTATACCTGAGTCCATGGGCTTCCGTATATGTCTCACATATTCTGAGCAGCTTACCAAGTGCACTGATCGCAGGAGTCAACAGCACCATATCATCAGCGTAACTAATATTATTAATGAAAGTGCCATCAATAGAGCAACCCACTTTGGCGCTGCTGAGTTCCACGATCAATTGTCTCACCCCACATTTCAACCTGTAATCTTTTGAATATACTCCCGCCCATCTAACACTGTTAGTCTGGTTTTCGTACAAGTAGCGGAACAACCCAGTGACTTCATCCGGGAGATCCGTCTCACAGCGCAGCTTCTGCCATAGCACGTCATATGAGACAAGGTCGAGGAAACACGCATACACGGGTGTCCTTCTTTTTGTGTAATACTGAACTGTATGCTTGAGGCATAATACCGCGCTCTCTGTGGACTGAACCCGAACTGTGCGTCATGCAAGTCTAGGTATCTAGGGCTATTGCTACGTAGCAATTTCTTCAAGGCAATCTTAAGATAGAAATTTGGGATATACAAAAGGGTTGCAACCAAAGAATATCATTATAAGTACACTATACAATAATTATTAATAAACTCATATACGTAGATAGAAATATCCATACAAATATTATTAATACATAAATAATAATATTAAATGCTTATATACTTTAAGAGGAAAAAGAAAAATGAAATAATAAGTATAGAAAATAAATGAAAGGATAGTGGAGAAAAAGATAAAACTTTGGAGTTGAGGAAGTGATCCTTGACACGTCGTTTGAAGGAATCAAGAGAAGGGGAACCTTGAATCGATTCAGGGACAGAATTCCACAGTCTGATCGCAGAAACGGTAAAAGGGTTGGAATAAAAATTAGAGGTATGGAATGTTTAGTAAGAGAGTATCAGAGGAGCGAAGGGGACGACAGAGTGTAGAAGAGTGGAAAATAAAGCGATCTTTGAGATAAGAAGGCGTAAAGAGACAGAATAGAATTGAGTAAAGAAGGGAAAGAATATAAAGATCTCTACGATAGGTAGCCATTTAAGTTGTGCACGAAACTTGGAGACGTGGTCAAATTTACAAAGTCCAAAAATGAAGCTCACACACATATTTTGGAGCTGTTCCAATTTATTCAGCAGAGTGACTGACAAATCCGGGTAGCAAACATTGGCGTAGTCCAGTATCGGATGGAGAATGCTCTGGGCCAAAGTAATTTTAGTTTTAGTGGGCAAAAAGTTTTTAAGCCTTCTCAGGGAAAAATGCGCACCAAACACCTTCCTGCTAACCTCATCAAAAATTACCCCCAAATTCCTAACTGTATCCACAAAAGGAATTCAGACATTTAATAGATTTCATTATTACATACTTTTATTGTTTTGGCAGTTAAAATTCTCGAAATGTAAATAATATTAAGAACTTTATACTACGATAAGACGATTCGGAACATGAAAAAATAAAGAGATGGCATTATACAGTTCATATAGCGTTATTTCTTTCCCAGTTTTAGTAAGGAATAGACGATGAGGAAAATCGTTTGTTCTTTCAGTTACTTTAGCAATAATACATGAATTGGTTGACAGGTTTGTCTTGGTACGAAAATGAGTAATATTACAATAAGCTTACTTTATGCTTACATTGAAATAAGATTGCTTTTGGAAAGGTTATGGTAGGCCTCCTGATTGGTTAAATTGGCTTAAAACTCTACCGCGGTTAACGGTAAGGCAGGTTCTATTCTATCTCTTTGGTTTTTTGTACCGTTTGTTCGGCTTTCGTTTAAATACTTAGAGGGTGGAAAAAAGAAAGGAATTTAAATATATGAAGAAGCTGAATCGTGGAACTTTGAACAACAAATTAGGGTAGCCTTATTATATGGGTAACAATTTATCGTTGTCTAAACACGGTACTCGACTTTAAGAACCGTCATTATGCAACGATTGCATAAAATTCTGTTGTTCATCATGTTCAGTTATTGCCCGCTGTATGGATTGTCGTAACATTTTTAGTTTATGACCTTCATCCATTGGTGCACATTGGTTTTTCTATCTGTTTTGTATGAACCAAGATATGGGGCGACATGAAAAAGAGAATTCAGACCCAAATCATATCTATTCTGCGGCGAAAAAAATATCGTTTAGTACTCACTTTTCTGTTTTATTGCCACCTCACTCCATATATGGATTGTAGTGGTAGTACGCAGAGAAAAACTTGCAAAAGAATTAGTAAATTAAATTGGTATAAAATACAGGGGTTATGATGGCACATCTTTCCTTGATGTAGTGTATGGGTGGACAGTTAGTAACGTACTACGTAAAATAAAGCGTGAATCACGTATTCAAGTGCGGCACGTGGCTAATGTAGGTCGCCGCGTGAGCAGTGTTACATTGAAGAATGTATGAGACTATACAAGTTGGCAACCCAAAAGAAAGAAAAAAGTAGTTAACGTAAAAAGCAATTCAAATTCAAATTCAAATTCAAAATAATCTTTATTTCATAGGTAAGCATTATTACACTTGAAATCGTCACAATGGTTAAACTCTACCGCTCATTCGTAAGGCAGATTCCCCTGAGAAGAATGAGCAAGAAACTCTAGGGGTTGCTAAAGAGCAACCCAAAACAAAGTTTTTAATTGTTATTTACCTTTGTAAATAACAAATGTTATTTACAAAGGTAAATAACATTTACAATATTTATTTTTTATTTGAAACATCAGAGATCGAGACTACCTCCATGAGCTGAACGGGTTACTACCACGGATTTTAGTCATCCAAGTACGCAGAAGTTGTATAATAACCTTTAGGTATAAAGTTTTTGTTTCACTATAGTTTTAAACCTCGTGAAAGGCAAATTTTGTATATCAACCGGTATCTTGTTATAGAAGCGTATATATTGACCCTTAAATGATTTTTTGACTTTGTGAAGAAGACTATCAAGAAAAGCAAGTTTATTTTTATTCCTCGTATTGATGTTATGTCTGTCATTATTTTTCATAAAGAAATTACTATTCCTTTTAACATTAATTACATTTTCATAAATGTACTGTGAGACTAGTGTAAGTATGTTAATTTCCTTAAACTTATCTCTCAAAGATACTTTGGGGCCCAGATTGTAAATTGCCCTAACTGCACGTTTCTGCAGGACAAAGATTCTATTGATATCGGCGGCATTACCCCAAAGCAAAATGCCGTATGTCATTAGACTATGAAAGTAGCTGAAGTAAACCAATCTAGCGCTTTCGACGTCTGAAAGTTCCCTATTTTTTTAATCGCGTACACTGCAGAGTCGAGCCGTTTTGATAAATTACTTATATGGGGACCCCATTGCAATTTAGCATCTAATGTTATACCTAGAAATACAACTGTACCCACAAGATTCAATTTTTCATTTCTAACTACAATGTTTGTAACCGTCTCTCTAACATTGGGTAATGTAAATTTC